ACGAAGACAAAACTGGACTGGAAGTCAATGGATTGGTGAACAGTTTGTGCCACATTGATCAAGAATTAATAATCAAATTTATCGAAACAAGACAAGTTGATTTGAAATCAGAAAAACGCTGTTAGATAATAACAAATTATTAGATATAAAAATGCACTTTTCTCAACAGGATTGATTTAAAATAAGATTATTGATGGTTAAATCCTGATCGCAGTGATTTCTGGTAGTCTTTGGTTGTATTTAGATAATTTAATAACCATATAAAGGTTAAATATGGAAGTGGATGTCGCACTGAAACTCTCCGACCAACATAAAACCGTCTTTAGTCTTTCCAACAATCACCAGATTAAGCCTTTACAGCCCCTGGGATCTGATTTAAACTCACATTTCAAACCTCACGTTGTTGATTTTCTGCACCTGTGAGTTCAGATGAGGTGTGTTTGTGTTGTTCGCGGGTGCGTTCGGCACAGTTTGACATTTTCCTGCAGGATCTGGAGGATCAGTAAAAAGGAAACCAGTTCTCCGGACTGAAGTGCCTTATGGGACGCAGACAGGAAAAAGGAGGACTGAACCACACGAGGATCCTTCTTATAAAAGAGGAGTTTTAGTTTATAATCCCAGAGGCTTTGTGGGAGTTGTAGTTTTATTATTGCACATGATAGAAGACTGTTAATCAAAGGTACTAGACGATGCTCTGTGTATTTAAAGCAGTGATTATAACTCCAGCTCTTTGGTGTGATGATGTTAATAAACAGAAATATTATTTTTTGCTGATTTAAACAGTTTTTCAATGTAGAGAAATAAAAAGGGAGGGCTCACTCTGCTTATATTTGAGGGACAGAACTACAGATTTTGATTCCCTCAGTTCCACATTTAATGTTTTTATGTTTTTCTAAATTCCTGCTGATCGTTTTTTTTTCCAAAAACCATCTGAAACATACAGAAAATATAACGGTGTAGTTACACAATCTGCCCACCGGAGGGCAGCGTCCACACACCCTAAGACATTCTTCTTCTACTCAGTTCTCCGCTGTAAATGTGGATGTATGAAATGAATCTTTCTGTACAGCGATCAATAAAAACGATATAAGTTCTCTGACTGTTCTTTGATCGGTTCCAGAAATCAATATTTCCTGTGGTGGTTTTGAGTTCTGATAAACTTGAATATAATTACAGGTTCTAGTAATAATTTAAAAGCAACTGTCTTCATTCAATCTTAAAGCTTTATGTCAAACTTTAAAGTTTTGAAATAAACAAAAAAATAAAGTAATGCCGACCTAATAATATAATTATAATAATAATCTTTTGTTGAGGTAATTTACTTAAATCTTTGATCAGATTTTTACTCTCTGTATAAACTTTGAACCTGAAGCGTTAGTTCAAGTCTATTGAACATATTTGATTTGAGTATAGAAGTAACTCGAGGTTTTATTGTTATTGTTATTTTATAAGGGTAAAATAAGTTAATTGTTAATAGGATTCAGTTAATTAAAGTCTCATATGCAGCATTTCTCCAAATTTATTTAAAAAGTGTGAATTTATCTGATTAAAGTCACAAATGTTAGCACTTAAGTTTAAATTTACATACATATTATTAAATTATTAAATTTTCTGTGAAAACAGCTGACATACGATAATTAAAAAAACTTATATTGATTATCAAAATGGCACCCAATTAATTATCTGTGGTTTTTATGTGATAAACATCAAATATTTACCCTTTGGGGGAATAATTTGGATGCATATTTGGACCTGAGCTATACAGCATAATAATGATTATATTTTTAATGATAATGATAATTTATATTTTATATATAAAATCAGCATAAAGAAAATTAGTCAATGAAACAAACTGGAATTATATTACCAATAATTAATATACTGAACACATTTAAGTTCACTCAAAACAACTGAGTTACTTCAACAATTCATTTGTGAGTTGAATTTAATCAATGTGAGTTAATGAGAATTCATTTATGTCAACTAACTTATTTTATTGAGATGTTGTCAGGTTTTACACTGTAAAAAATAGATAATTTCACTTAACTCAAAAAACTGTTGAAACTAACAAAAATAACATTCTTGATTAAGCAGCTTTAGTCTTTTTAAGTGAAACTGATTTAATTTTGTAAAATATCCAGTAAAAAGTTATTAATCAGGATTTTTTCTGTAACACAAAAGTTAGTGACACTTAAAATTACTAATAAAAGCCGATTTATCAAGAATCTTAACCTACAAAATGTAGTTTGTGTTACTTAAAATTTCGATGTAATCAGTTTCAATGTTTTGTAATTAAATTAACTTAATTTGTTTACAGTGTAATAATTTTCTTTAATGTATTTTAAAGTACATTTATGTAAAAAAATACATTTAAGTTACTTTATTCAGATAAATTTTGTTAACACATTTTTAATTTTACCTTCACAATAAATTAGTTACTTCTACTCAAATCAAATAATTTTTCAGGACTAAATCAATTTAAGATCGATTTCAGTTTGATTCGAACTAACTCGTCTTTTGAACTAAAATAAATAATAATAAAAATAAAATAATAAAAACTCAAGAGTAAAACTTTGATGCGATTTATTGAAGATGTGTCCGTTCAGGGACTAAAATGTTTCAAGTGTTAGTGAGAAGTTTCCTCCTACAAAGATTAAAATATCACCGACAGATTTAAATACAATAAAAACACAATGATGACACAGTGACCACCCCCCCCAGGTAATAACGAAACCCCGCCTACTTTTGTACACCTGTCGTTCAGCCTCTTTTTGAATCTGATTAACTGCTGAGCTGAACTCCACATTTTAACAAAATTAAAACTAAAGTTTGGTCTCCAGTATCAGACACAGGCCTCATCTCAAAGCATCATGGGAGCTGTAGTTTAATTAAAAATGTTTTATTTTGAAGAGAGGCATTAACATTGTTCAGAAACTTGTTTATCTGAACAGAAAACTGCAGAAACTTGTTTCACATTTACTAAATTCTGAAGAAACAAACCGTCTAACATTATTACCACTTATGACATCACAGTGCGTCGGTCGAGGGGGCAGGGCATATTGATTTACGCTGAAGAAGCCAAACTCTTTTTTTCCGATACATTTTTTAAATTTGGTGAAACTTAAAAAAAAAAAAACTTAAAATAAAGAGCCTACATCAGTAAAACATTAATGTGATGACGTGAATTTTATTTTGTAGGAGGGATGAAAGGGGCGGGGCTTCACCGTGTCATCATTTACCAAAATAAAAAAAATAAAAAAAGAACAAATAAAACATCAAATAGCACCAACATTAATTTCAAGCTAAATAAATACTCTGATGACATTTACAGTAAAAATATAAAACGCTCGAGTTCAACCATATTTACAAATCACAGAGAGATAATACAGAACCAGGACCAGGACCAGAACCAGGACCAGGACTATAAACTCAACCTTAAAAAGAACAGAAACCGAACTGAAAGCGGACAAACAAAAAAATAAAGAACAGGTAGTAAGTTGTGTTAACTTTATTAAAACATCTGTTTCGTGACAGTTTTGATATTAAAACTTCAAACTATCAGACAGATAAATATTCAAATTAACTTTATTTATAAGACAAAGAAAACAGCGACGACTCAAACACATCAACTTCTGCTTCGGAGCGTCCTGGTCCTGTTTCTGTACTGCAGCCCGACCTGTTTCGATGTTCGAGTTACAGATTGTCACCACTCGTCAGTTTTTACGTTAAAGGAACCGTTTCTGCGTTAAAGTCCGACTGCTGCTCTGAAACTTGGAATAAAGAACATTAAATCAGGCGAGCTGATGGGGAGGAGCTCCGAACACGTTTCAAGGTTTAATGTCAAAATATATTCACAGCTTCTCACGCAATCCTTTCCCTACTTATTAACAAAATACTGACCGACCAATGGCACGCGGCCACTGGCTCTCTGCTGACCAATCACAACGATGTTCAGCTAGCCAATCACAATGGATCTTCAGTGTGGGCTAAAAGGCAGGGCTAAAGTTCACTCAGGTGTTCGCCGTCGATCTCTCCGATGAGGACAGAATGTCACGTCAAACGCCGCCTGCAGGATGTGACATCAGCTCATATAAAATTGCTGTGGTGGGAAAACTTCGTAACGTCCGTTTTTAAGGGTTTGTGACGTGAGCTGCGAGTTGTTTTTTTCACAATAAAAGCACTGAAATGAATCCAGATAAAATCTGAGCTACAGATATAAAAGGTATATAAAGAGATACAAGGTAGAGATACAAGGAGATACAAGGTTTCCACCTGACAACAGTGATTAAACATAATAAATATGACTTTTAACAAATGTTCTTCTCGTGATGAAAACGACAGGTCAGTCTGGAAGCCCATTTCCACCAATCGCGTAAGTCATTATAATCAGAAACTTTCTCAAAATAATGAGGAACCCAAAACGCAAAGTCATTATTTTTAGAAAATGTCCAATACTAAGTTAATATATTGAGACATTTTCTCATTATTTTTTTTGGGTGCTGAGTCATTATTTTGAGAAAGTCTCTCATTATAAAGACAAACAGGAAAGTTTTTTATCATAGTGACGGAAACTGGCTTCCAAAGTTCAAACTGGGGCTGAACAATGTTTGCAATAAATGATTATTAGTCAGCGTTATGAATCTAATAAGTTAATAACTGAGTTTTGATTTAACTGGTTGGTTTGATGGTCTTTATATCTCTCACCTCAAACACAGTTGAACTTACACACAGCTAATCAAACTTTTGAATTTATACGTTTGGACAAAATGATCAATAAACATGAATATTTGTGCCTGCGTCAGCGTTGTGGTTGTCTGCCAGAAGCTGTCACACACTGACTGTTTACCATCCACTGTTTAGATCTTGGTGCTTTTTAACTCTAGATTTGAACCGAAGAAGGATTTTAGTTATCGAACGTCTGGGTCTTATCAGAGAAACAAGCGCTTTAGTAGCAGCTCAGCTCGCAGACCCTCCGGGTCTCCAGCATGAGAGAAGCAGTGATTTTTAAGGTGGAACTGCTTTATTCAGTGTTTTTAGTTTTAATCAGCAGGTCGGTTCGTTTTGGAGAGGAGGAGAGCTCTGTGGACATCATCAAACTTCCTCTTTTCTTATAGTTTTGATGTGAGAGACCCCATAGTGGCAGAAACTACAGACAGTACATTTAACCCCAGTTCAAACATCTTTCTGCTGTGACATTTAGTGAAAAGACAAAAGAAAGCAGTTTGAGTGTTTGTGCTGCTCTGAGTCACTCCTGCTGATCTGATCATTGATTGATGGATTGGCAGCATTATCTTTAACATGACAGTCTCTCCTCACAGAGACAAACAAACGATTCTGTCCGTCCCCTCGGACTCTGCAGGAGGAGGCAGTGGAGCGTCTCCGCGCTCCCTCGTGCACGAGAAGGAGGAAGCGGTGCTCCTCCTTACTTCCTCATGCAGACGCTGCACCTCCCAATGTTCTGCCTCTGCTGCTGGCTCTCGGTCAGCGTGGTAGGGGAACTGTTGGAGGTGGAGGTGCTCGTGTCCACTCGGGTCAGCCAGAAACTGTAGATGTTGGCGAAGTAGTGGCAGGTTCCTCGAGGCCCCTGGCACTCCACGAAGGGCTGGGCTCTGAAGTCAGTCAGGCAGCTGCCTGATGATGTCAGAGACTGGCCGCCACCCTCATCACCTGCGCCTGTATGCTGCAATCACACAGGAATTGACATCATCACAAGGTGTTAGACTCCGACGAGGTAGTACTTTTAGGACTGCAATAACAATATTAGCAGTAGTATTATCAGTAGCATTGCATCAGTAGTAGTACCTCTACCACTGCAGTACCCACCATGAGGAAGGAGTATCCGGTCCACAGGCTCCTCCAGGTGCTAGGGCATGCTGGCGTGGAGGAGGTCTGGCTGTGCAGTGCGACAGGTGAGGAGGGGGCTTCACATACCACGCAGCGGCTGATGTGGTCTGCGATGGCAGCCCCCTCCACCGGTATACTGGGGACGGCTGCCGTCGTCGACAGCCAATAGGATTTATCGTTACGGCTGGCATAAGAGCAGGTTCCCATGTTACAGGAAGAGAACGGCATCGTGGAAAAGACCCGCATACACGACCCCGCCTGACCTGGAAATATTATTAGGACACATATTTATTAAAAGATGATTACATTTACATTATTCACAAACATTTTTAACAGCACACTTTGAAAAATCATTCTCCAGGGAAACATTAATGTAACAGGGAGAACAGGAATTATATTGTTATTGTATAAATATTGCTGAAGTTTTGCTCCTCTATGAGCCAGAGCGCAGTCATCCATTATTATTAGCAGGGCACTCATTGCCCCCCAGCAACACCTTCCAGCTCTTCTTGGGGATCCCACGGCGTTCCTAGGCCATCCTTCTCAGATACCTGAACCACCTCAGCTGGTTTCTGTCAACACGAAGGAGCAGCAGTTCTACTCCAAGCTCCTTAACCTAATCTCTAAGGCTGAGACCAGACACCTTACGGAGGATAATTTTGGCCTTTTGTATCATGCCGTGCTCATGGACAGCTCCCTCTGATCCACAGCAGTCTGGTACAATACCCACATCACTGCTGACCACACCAACCCTCCTGTCCATCTCAGGCTCCATTTTACCGTCACTCATGAACGGGATCCCAAGATACTAAAACTCCTGCAGAGATATCAAGCAGGCTAAATATCTGGTCGTATTGGGGACCACCTGGATTGGGGAACCATGCAATGTGCTAAATCTAGTGTGAGCAGACACAGGCTGTTATCGAAACCAGTCTTAGTTTAACAGTATGAAAACTTTAGTATGCACGTGTTTAGGAGTTTAAATATACCCAGATCCTGAGTGTGAGCCTTCTCCTGACCCTCCAGGTACAGCAGACTGTATCCTTCCCACAGGGTATTCATGTCAGGTGGACAGGAGGGAGCCTTGTTTGTTTGGCTGTGCATCACCAACAGGAAGCCGGAGTTCAAGGTTTTGTGTGGTCCGGAGGGACCGCGGTCACCGACTGGACCAGGATCACCTGAGACATACACCACAGGAAGGCACATCAACATCACAAAGATGTTTATGTGCATCTCCGCAGAAGCTTACAACAGCAAATACTGTTTATCAGTTGAAACTGACAGAAGACAGAAATTATGTAAAAAAGTAAGAGAGATAAACACAGACAGAAACACAGACACAGACAGGTGGACGTCTCACCTTTGTCTCCCACTACTCCTCTCTCACCCAGCAGGCCTGGCTTTCCTCGGTCTCCAGCTGGACCTGGTGGCCCCGTAGAGCCTATTTTACCCACAAGCCCATTGTACCCTTTCTCTCCTGAAACACATAATCAACATCTTAATATTCAGCTGAGACCAACAATGCGAGACTGCTGCCCCTCATTAAACGTCCAGCGTGTAAGGATCTAGATAAGGGGCATTTGCATTTTTCATACGTTTTGCGGCCACCATAGTTTAGAGGAGGGTGAAGCCAGGAAATTGCAATCTGCTACTTCACCACTAGATGCCACTAAATCCGACACATTGGACCTTTAAGTCAGGGGTTCCCAAACTTTTTAATATCTAGGACCAGAAGAATAGATGCACATTAGACCCACTGAAAACCACTGGTTTAAGTGACTAAATTAACCTGAGCTGGTTCTGGGTTTTATTTTTTTTGGTGTGACTGTGGTGAAATCTGTTTTTCTGAGCAGACAGAAATACCAAATACTTAATATCTTCATATACCAGAGAGATGCAGAGATCACCATCATCATGACCTGGTCCCCCTCCTAATTCTCACCTTTGGGTCCAGTCAGGCCAAATTCTCCAACGAGGCCTGGATCTCCAGACTTTCCGGGGGGGCCAGGGGGTCCTCGGGGGCCCTTATCTGAGGGAGGTAAAGTGGGACAAGTGGAGACTCGTCCCTTCTCCCCCTTTGGACCCAGTGGTCCAGGAAATCCCTTTGGTCCTTGAGGCCCAGGGGGACCGGGACAACCTTTAGGACCTGGATCACCAGGTATTCCCATCAAACCAGGAGACCCCCGCATACCTAAACCCACACACAGACATGACTATTTGACAGTCAGTGATAAACTATTAATTAGCTAATTATTAAACAAATACAAAAGTCAACAACGTTGGGCAGGAAGACGCTTCTGAAACACTCTGAAGGAGTCATTCCGTGAAGAACTGTCAGCAGTAACATGTCGGCTATCTTTATATTAAGATATCTGAGATACTTTGAGAGAGTCTGACCGTTCGATCCGGGATTTCCGTTAATGCCTGGCGGACCTCTTGGGCCTGTAGATCCCTTAGGGCCCTTTGGCCCCTGACACCCTGGGTCCCCGTTGTCCCCATCATCCCCAGCTACCGGAGGGTTTGGACCTGGATCTCCCATGTCACCAGGACAACCTGAAACACCAAACAAACATCAGAAGACATCCAGTGTAAATTAATAGGTCAGTTTCTTAAACCTGAAGATTAAAGTCTGACCTGGATCTCCGTCTTGTCCAGGAAGACCAGGATCTCCACAAGGCCCTGGGATTGGATTTTTACAGTCTGGTCCAGATTTACCTGGAGGTCCACTACCACCTGGAGGTCCTACAACAACACATACAGACACATTACTGACAGAGAGTCAAACTAAATGTCTGATCTTTAGATGGATCTGCAAGTCATATCCTGACCCTGATTGGAATCACACTGCTACAGACCTGCGGATCCTGGGGGGCCTTTGGGTCCTGGGGGACCAGACTGGGATGGGCCTTTGTGTCCTGGAGGACCCGGAGGACCCTTATCTCCTGGTAAACCTTTACAACCCGGAGGACCTGGTAGACCCAGACCTAAAAAAGCAGAATTTATCATTGTGACTCTACCAATCACTATTAAAGACCCTGAGAACTTGACCCTGGCCCACTCGAGATCTGATCCTCCTTTAGCCAGGTGAAACTTTACATTTTCCTGTGATATTGGGCTATAGTGATAGAGTAGATAGAGTGATAGAGTAATTAGGGAATGTTAGGTTAGTATGTGTTTGTGAGAGAGACTCATACCTCTGGTCCCCATGTCCCCTTTCACTCCTTTTAGCCCATCCAGTCCATGAAGTCCCAGTGGTCCAGGAGGACCTGATGCAACAAAATAATTTATAAGAACCAAAATTTATGTATGTTTGTTTTGTCTCAGTGGTACCTTGCAGCTCTAGATTTTACTTGTCTTACAAGTTCTAAAACTGGTTTTATGTTTTGGTGAGCCAAAGACAATAAAGTTGAATCCTATTGTATTCTATTTGCTAGCCTTACCGCACCCTAACAAGCACTAGTGCGGGGTCAGGTATTGGTCTCCTGAAATTGTGCTGATGATGATGATTTCTCCTCTGCAAAGGAACTACTCATCATGAGCTTTTATTTTGATGGGCAGCTTCTGACAGCAGGAAGAGGTGGAGTGAGGTAAAAATGTGGGGGTAAAAAGTCTGGTGTCTAACCTTAAAGAAAAGTAAATTCTACTTGACAATCTCTATGTTACTAGCTAAGTTAATAATCTAACATGGCTGACATGACAGCAGAGTTCTGACCTTGGAGTCCCGGGCAGCCCGGCGGTCCTGGAGGGCCATCACCTCCTGCTATACCAGGAAGACCTGGACGACCCGGACGACCTCTGGGACCTGAAGGACCTGCCACACCTGAAATAAACGAGACAAACAAACAGGGTTAGGGTCGGGGAAGGAGCCACACCCACTTTATAACTGAAATTACTAGTTCCACTAATAACAATATGCAGACTTAATATGACAGAACAAACGTATAAAGTCAAGTGAGCTTCTTTACCTGGGTCACCTGGGTCTCCCTGGAAACCTGGATCTCCTTTGCATCCTTTCTGTCCTGGGCTCCCAATGAAACCGGGTCCACCAGGATACCCTGGATGTCCAGTAGGTCCTGAGAGAGAAAAACAGTCACATCCACAGATTCATTCAGAAACTCACCCGATGGTTTATACTTCATAACTTTATCACACTCAATAACAGAGACAAAGACTCCTGTCATGCTGCAGAACCGGAACCAGATGATCACCTGGAGGCCCAAAGTCTCCTGGAGGCCCCTTGTCTCCAGGTGGACCGGAACAACTGACAGAGTCTCCTTTATCACCTGAAATACAAACACATGTTATGCAACAACCTGTGCAGTAAAAGATCAGAATCTTTGTATATACAGTGAACGGTCCAATAAATCTGCTGGGCCATGGTACTGAGTTTGGTTAGGGGTTAGTTCTTACCTTTGGGACCAGTACATCCTTGACCACCAGGTTGTCCAGATGGCCCTGGACATCCAGGGTCACCCTGCAACCAAAAACAAGAACAGATCAATATTTTTGAACATTTGAACATCTGAACAAAACAATTGACAAAGGTTATTTGGTTGTAATATTTATTCTTCTGTTACCCCTTTACCACCAAGGCAGTTTAAGGGCTGGTTTGGACAGCGTTTTAAAGCCAAAGAACCAGTTCCAGTGTGGTGCTAACACTTGGCTGGTCTTAATCCATGAACCGGTTACAACAGGGGCTGACTGGGATAATTTGAAACTCAAACTAAAATAGTTTATGTAGTCATTAATGATCTGGTACATCCTGTGGTGTTTTAATTTATTACTTTGTGTCCATTTTATTGTATTTTTCTTGCTGAGTTCTGTGTTTTTAATGTACATACTTACTGTTCAGTTTGTTTTGTACTGTCTCTTGTGTATTTGTTGGGTTTCATGTATTTAATGGCCCATCCAGGGACGGAAGTGGAAAATAAGCTTAGGCTATAAATGTTGTGGTGTGTGGCATTTGTTTAGCCAGCTAGCTAGCCAGCTAGTGTAACGTTGGTAACAATAGCTAACACTGGAGACGTTTATAGTGACGTATTGACGTGAATCTCTAGCCAATGGCAAAGGAATGCGGTTCTTAGAAGGAAGCGACTCTGAACTGGCTCTAGGTTTGCGTTGGTGGAAAGGGGATATGTTCGTGGTTTGGGAGACTCTGGGCCTCTTTACCAGCTAAAACATACTCAACATAGTTTTACCAGCTTCACATGACAGGATTTTTCTTAGGATTGGGTTGAGAGGTTGTTGAAGGTCAAAACCTGATTTTGAACTGATGACATGTTTCCGAAATCACAACAGTACTTAAATACAGTGGAAGTTCCTCTTCTTTATATCTGTGAATGATTGGTATGCCATTCATTGGCTGGTTAATGAGGAACAAGTCATTAAGATCAATTTGATTGACTGACAGATATTCATGAACTAATCATTACATAATCTTTCATTAATATAGTCTGTTCTTTATTAACTCATCATCATTATTATCTATTACTAGTTATTCATTAACTAATTGTTCACAAGCTGGTAACTTACTCAAAATGTTGTGTCCCTTTTGTTGTGTTACAGCTTGTTCTGAACTACTGTCTTGAGTCCCACATATAGATCTCTCTCTCACCAAACTAGCATTCTCTGCTAATCACATGCTATCCATACAAATCCCTGTCACAGGCAGCTAGAGTGAATGAACAGTACACCTGTACAGGTGTGACGAGCAACTCTGCTTCCTGTTGGACTTTCAGGTAAAGTTTCTGTTCTCACACTCTTAGACATCTGCATGTGCTATCTCTGATCATAAAATCAACTTCTATCTCACTGGATCTCCGGTCTCTCCAGGGAAGCCGATGAATCCTGGGGGTCCTGGAAATCCAGGTGGTCCTGGAGGTCCTGGTTTGTGGCAGGTCCCGGGTGGTCCTGGGAGACCTGGGAGGCCAGGGGGTCCATTGATGCCTGGATAACCCGGATTACCAGGATCTCCTCGTACACCTTTATTTCCTGTAGGGACAGAGAGTGTTTAATTATGTATCTTACCAATCGAAGAACTGTACCTAGCGTAGCTTTGTGGGAGCTGAAACTGTTCAGGAGTACAAACCTCTAAACTAGACTCAAACTGACTTTGAGTTCTTGTAGGCATATATGTTTCCCCCTGTATTGTATATGTATTGTATTGTATATGTATTGTATTGTATTGTATATGTATTGTATTGTATATGTATTGTATTGTATTGTATATGTATGTATGTGATATTTATGTGTGCACTTTTACGGAGCTGCTCTCCAAATCTCATTGTACTGTGTACAATGACAATAAAGGCTTTCAATTCAATTCAATCAAGGTCAAGAAGAGGTGGCTTCCCCAAGTCAAATAGTAAATTGACTGTAATTGTATAGTTCCTTTCTAGTCTTTCTGACGCAACTCAAAGTGCTTTTACAATACATGCAACATTCCTACAGGAATGCACAGCATCCGAAAGCCAATTTGGTGTTTAGTATCTTTGCTCAAGGAATGCAGCAAAGAGAGCCGGAGATCGAACCGTCAACCTTAGCGTTTAGTGAATGATCCAACTCTACACGCCCTACCCTATGTTCAAGTTTTCACGAATTTTGGCATCGTAAATAATATTTGTTGCCAAGGTAAATAGTATCAACCAATTATTTCCAAACTGTCTTGTTTGGTAAAAGTGCTGGAAGTCCCTGGTAAATCAATAACTGCACACTTTCTCCATGAATAACATTCTAACCCTGGTTTCAACTGGGGTACCACATGGGTCCTTCTAAGTGGACAAGTTCTCGTCCACACATGATGCTTTTGAGACCATGGAAAGGAAAAGTCAAAGACTTTCAAATATGGTCAGAGATTAACAGCTCTGACCTCGTGGTCCGGAAAGCCATTGGGCCAACGGATCCTGGTGGTCCTCTTTTTCCCTGTTGATGGGATGCAGTGGTATCTCCTGGAGGGCCGGGGGCCCATTACAGACTGCCAGGGGACACAAATGGAGAGAGAACTAATGTACTAATAATAGTTTTATTTAGACTGAGAACTGATGGTTTATCTATGACACTCATTTCAGTCTCACTCATTATATTTACACTGTAGTTTATTCACAGTACTGTAGCAGTATCACTCAGTGTTTACCTTTCTCACATCCTGGATAGTACTGTAGTAGTTGCTATAATAAAGTAGTACTATGGTAGATTTCTACAGTAGTACTGTAGTGTCGCTCAGTGTTTACCTTTCACTCTTTCTGGCTTCACAATCCTGGAGTTCGCATCTTGTCCGCTCAACCCTCTCATCCGCCTCTCCCTCCCCAGAGGCCTGCAAGGGGCCCCCCAGTCTGTCCGGGGATCCCCTGCTTCCGTACAGACCCTGGGCCGCCATCAGACCTGAGACACACATGAGTAATTTCTGTGACACTCCTGTTGTCAGGAATCATTTAAACACAGATGTGCTGGTGCGAGGAGTCTTATCTTTCTGACCGATGGGCCCCGCCGGCCAAGTCCTGAGTCTCCCATTGAGGCCAGAGGGATCCCTGTGGCCCCCGGGTAACCTGGGGAAACCTGGAGAGCCGCCGGTTTACCTTGAGGGCCTTGAGGGCCAAAGCCTGGAGAACCCCTCCTCTCCAATCTCACCTTTCTCCCCCCAGGTAAAAATTTGTTTTTATATCACTTTACTTTTAACTTAACTTTCTTCTTTAGCTCCAACGTTACTTTCCTTTTTTTTTACTTACTTCTTAAGTAATGTGATGTAATTTCTTCATGTCCATTTCTGTTCAGGTTTTATGGGGGAGAAAGGTGAGATTGGAGAGGGGGTCTCAGGCTTTGCCTCAAGGCCTCAAAGGTAAACCGGCTCTCCAGGTTTCCCAGGGTACCCGGCCACAGGGTCCCTCTGGCCTCATGGAGACTCAGGACTGCCGGGGCCCATCGGTCAGAAGGGAGCTCCTCGCACCAGCACATCTGTGTTTAAATGATTCCTGACAACAGAGTTCACAGAAATATCATGGTGTGTCTCAGGTCTGATGGGGCCCCAGGGTCTTACGGAAGGCCAGGATCCCCGAACAGACTGGGGCCCCTGGGCTCTGGGAGAGAGGCGAGAGAGGGTTGAAGGGACAAGATGGAACTCCAGGATGTGAAGGCCAGAAAGGAAGTGAAAGGTACACTGACGACACTACAGTACTACGTAGAACTACCATAGTACTATTATATAGCCACTATACAGTACTACTCCAGGATGTGAGAAGGTAACACTGAGATACTGTACAAGTAACTGTGAATAAACTACAGTGTAATATAATGAGTGAGACTGAGAATGAGTGTCATAGATAAACCATCAGTTCTCACTAAATAAAAACTATATTAGTAAACATTAGTTCTCTTCATCTGTTCCCCTGCAGGCTGTAATGAAAACCCCGGGCCCTCAGGAGATACCAACGTGCATCCCCATCAAAAGGAAAAAGAGGACCACCAAGGATCCGTTGCTCAATGGCTTTCCTGGACCACGAGGTCGAGCTGTTAATTCTGACCATATTTGAAGTCTTGACTTTGTTCTTTCCATGGTCTCAAAGCATATGTGTGAGAGAACTTGTCACTGAAGGACCATGTCGTACCCCAGTTGAACCAGGTTAGAATGTTATTATGGAGAAAGTGTGCAGTTTTGATTACCAGGGACTCCAGCACTTTTACCAAACAGCAGTTTGAAATAATTGGTTGATACTTATTTACACTGGCAACAATATTATTACGATGCCAAAATTCTGAAAAACTTGCGTACTTAGGGTAAGGGCTGTAGAGTGGATCATTCCTAAACGCATAAGGTTGACGGTTCGATCTCCGGCTCTCTTGCTGCATGTCCTTGAGCAAGATATAAACACCAAATTGCTTCGATGCTGTCATCACTGTAGGAAGTTGCATGTTTGTAAAAGCACTTTGAGTGGTCAGAAGACTAGAAAAGGAACTATCAATACAGTCAATTTACTATTTACTGGGGAAGCAACTCTTCTTGACCTTGATGATGAAATGAAAATGAAATTGAAAGCCTTTATTGTCATTGTACACAGTACAGAGATTTGGAGAGCAGCTCTTAAGTGCACACATAAATATCACATACATAATATACAAACATAAAACATATACAAACAATAAATAATACAATAATACATATACAATACAATACATATACAATACAGGAAACCATATATGCCTACAAGAACTCAAAGTCAGTTGAGTTCAGTTTAGAGGTTTGTACTCCTGAACAGTTTCAGCTCCCACAAAGCTACGCTAGGTACAGTTCTTCGATTGTAAGATACATAATTAAACACTCTCTTCCTACAGGAATAAAAGTGTACGAGGGATCCTGGTAATCGGTTATCCAGGCATCAATGGACCCCCTGGCCTCCCAGGTCTCCCAGGACCACCTTGGACCTGCCAAACCAGGACCTACAGACCACCTGGATTTCCAGGACCCCCAGGATTCATCGGCTTCCCCTGGAGAGACCGGAGATCCAGTGAGATAGAATTGATTTATGATCAGAGATAGCACATGCAGATCTAAGAGTGGGAGAACAGAAATTTCCTGAAAGTCAACAGGAAGCAGAGTTGCTCGTCACACCTGTACAGGTGTACTGTTCATTCACCTAGCTGCCTGTGAGCAGGATTTTTATGGATAGCAAGTATTAGCAGAGAATGCTAGTTTGGTGAGAGAGAGATATATGTGGGATAAGACAGTAGTTCAGAACAAGCTGTAACACAACAAAAGGGACCAATTTTGAGTAATACCAGCTGTGAACAATTAGTTAATGATAACTAGTAATAGATAATAATGATGATGAGTTAATAGAACAGACTAATATTAATGAAAGATTATGTAATGATATTCATGAATATCTGTCAGTCAATCAATTGTCTTAATGACTTGTTCTCATTAACCAGCCAATGAATGGCATACCAATCATTCACAGATATAAGAAGAGGAACTCACTGTATTTAAGTACTGTTGTGATTTCGGAAACATGTCATCAGTAAAACAGGTTTTGACTTCAACAACCTCTCACCCAATCCTAAGAAAAATCCGTCATGGAAGCTGGTAAAACTATGGTGAGTATGTTTACTGGTAAGCCAGAGTCCCCAAAAACCAGAACATATCCCCTTTCCACCACGCAAACTAGAGCCAGTTCGAGTCGCTTCCTTCTAAGACCGCATTCCTTTGCCATTGCTAGAGATTCACGTCAATACGTCACTAAAACGTCTCAGTGTTAGCTATTGTTTCACGTTACACTACTGGCTAGCTAAGCTGGCTAAACAAATGCCACACACCAAACATTTTAGCCTAAGCTTATTTCCATCGTCCCTGGATGGCCATTAAACATGAAACCCAACAAATACACAAGAGACAGACAAACAAACTGAACAGTAAAGTAT